ACCACACCATAGTCGTACCGTACGAACGCGAAAGGGAGCCTTGCAATAGTTGTGCATGTGCCGTATAAAAACCAGCTATAAATAACTTCGTACGAAAAAAGCTGTTTTTAATCATTTGGTCTTTGGTTTACTTGAAAACCATACGCGTATAGGACATAACCATACCGGATTATACGACGAGTTACGACAAATGTGACTTATGCTCAGGTTACAATTCCGAACCTGTCTACCGGACAGTTTACGAGAACGAAAAATGTGATTTTAAAGACAACAAAACGGAAAAAAACTTTAGCAGGATCTGTATATTCCTGGTATGACTTGTTTTTTTTTGTTAATGGCAATAGCCGAAATGGGCCCCAGTTTGAAAATTTGCCCATATCATTAGTCTGTACATTTTAACCATTCTAGTAGTACTCTATATAGCCGTTCTTCTTGTTACCTGCTGTGAATATAAAAATGGGTGAAAATGCTGTTTTTACCTCTCGACCATGCCCCATAATTTTCATGCAGAACAGTCTCACTAGATGACGGTGATTTGACTGACTACAGGCCCTTTGGTAATTGTTGCCCCCCAATCGCGTTGTTCTAAAGGTCATTCTAAAATGTACCTCAGATGAAGATTTCCTTGTTGCAAATTTGCCCATTTTGTCATTACGTTCTGCGGCGTGCAGATGTTCGGTCATTAGTTTCAATTATCTCAGAGCTGAAAACTGTCATAAATATGGAACACAAAAATCTCTAAAACAGGTCAACCAGTTATCGACTCCTACGTGTCATGAAAGATGAAATTATTGATGCAAATATTAAATTCCCTTTAAGACACGTTACCCTGTCGAACATTTCAGCTTTGTCAGCAGAAGCTGATGCACTGCTTACGTGTGTTCCCGTTTTAACAACAATGTGTAATTAATCTTCTGATGTATCAAGTAAGGCAACTACTGAAGCGAATACTGTAGAAAAAAGTCATCCGTTCCAGTCTGACTGATTGTGTTTCCCAGCCGTATCCCATGCATTAAACATTACATCTACCAGAACTTCGTTTCTCAATAAACACAATTTTAGCTGCGGGAATTTTGTAGGCGTGAAAACTGGTAGACGCAATTTGCCTTAGACGTCCAGAAGCACTACTGAGCTTTCAAGCTGAAGGCTTCGCTTTAGTGCTTTTTAATTTTAATTTAAAATTGTACGATATAAACTCCCTGACACGTTTAATACATTGCTGACGTCACGTATCCGTAAAGTCTCGTGTGAATAAGGTCACGTGTCTGTAACCGTTAGTCTCGCGAGATTACGCTCGGAGGTGATTGGTCATTAATCATTCTGATGAAGGCCACAGTATTCCGTGAATTTTTATCTCTCTCTGTACTCGTTGTGTCGGAAACAAGTTCGAAATTTTAACTAAAATTATACTGTTTTTGGCAATTAATAACGAAATATTTAACATGTTTACTCATTATCGAGAAGAGGTCCTTCCCGGTGTGAGTGGTGCAAACTTACTGCTTACAGTCTGGTCTCAGGTTTGACATCTTGAAGAGGTGATAGTCAGCTGTTATGTCAATTATTCACAAATATGGTAAATATTCAGAAAATAAAAAAAAATAATTACTTCCATAGTACTGTTTTGGGTGGCTTTATCTATATGATTTATTGTCCAAACTTTCTATATATATAATATTGGTTGACAGCAGGTGGCTAAGGGGATTGACAGGCAGGATGGCAGAAAGTGAAGGTTTCAGAATCTGACAGGAATTAGAGACAGAGAAGTGGCATTCATGAAGCCGAGGATTGTGTACTTAACGGGGGACTAAAAATGCCCGATTGCTTGTAATTGTTCATGAAAGTGAAAATTAAACAATACTTTTAGGACTTAAAAACACCCCACCCCCATGATAATTTAACTTGTATTAAGCTTAAGCCCTTGCCACATATTCACATTTTCATCCGAACACGAACCGATAACGTTGGCTGAAGTTCGGGAGTACAGTCTGAATTGTATTTAGGTCACGCCTACATCTCCATACGTATTGCAATAGAGATAAATTTGAGACAAAATTTAATGCCTACCACCAGTCAGCCATTGCTAAACTTCCCGTCAAAACCCGAATGTTGTAAACATTTGAATGGCGCAGCCGAGCAGTAGGCGACATGCATTTAAATTGTGGATCCCAGCTAAGTTAAATTCAAGTCTACCCCTAACCATAGTTGGGGGAGTCTGGCTAGTTTTCGCAAGGCTGTTCAGCTATGTGTTCCATGGGCTTTACATTGTAACAGTGGGGGGTTTATAGGCGCTACCAACAGATCCGGCAAATGGGTCTAGACCTTTTAGCGGAGCGGTTAGAAGGATTTGGCGCTCTCACCGCCAAGGCCCGGGTTCGATTCCCGGTGTTGGAACTACTGTAAGAAACAGGAGGAGACAGTAAAAACCCCACTGGTCCCGGGCCGGGGTTCGAACCCACGACCTCCCGGGCACCAGAGCTTCATAACCAGACGCTCTAACCGCTCCGCTAAAAGGTCTAGACCCATTTGCCGGATCTGTTGGTAGCGCCTATAAACCCCCCACTGTTACAACATGTACCTTACAGCATGTGCAATAGGAAGCGATGGGCAGGTAATATATTCCGGTCACCTTCGCGCCTTACCCGTTAATTATAGTGCGGGTACGGGTTTCTACTCGGTGAGACATGCCTGAGATTCATCTGGCTTTCATTAGACAGGATTAGGCTCAGAGCCGAGAGTATTGGAAGGCGCTGTAGCGTAAGCGTTATGCCTCTGCAATTACTGGGGTGTGTACTATGTACTATTGCCGTGTCTAGCGCACCAGATTCTATCTACACTGAACGGTTTTATGCTGGTAATGCGTATGTAATACTTTCCTGTGCCAGACGCCCTATCATTGTCGTTTAAGTGGCACGTACAAAAAGGGTAAGAGCATGTCCTTCGACCTTAAGCACGTCCTGTTGACGTATGTTGAAAGGCACTCTACATGATATTGTAGGGTTCACGTTTATACAGCATTTGACACACATAGCCTTATAATGTTTTAAAACATTTAAAACACTTGGGTGTGGAGGGAAGGTTTTACCAGGGCTAGTGGTTTGTTAGTGTTCGGCAGAAGGTGAACAGAGACTCAAGTTGGACCCGAGAAAAAGTAGGCGTGATTTTAAATCTGGTCAGACTGCTCCCGAACTTCAGCCAACGTTGGTTGGACGGTGGTTGGGGGAAGGTTCTGAGTTTGTGAGGGGACTTATTAAGGATGACATGTTTCATGTAGTCGTTTCTAAAGAGGCCGTTATTCACGAAAACTTTACCTTTTCCGCCTGTTTAATTGTTTTCTAAAATGTTACATTTTCTGTAGCCCAAGATTTTGTAATTTGATAAATAAAGCTTTGTAGTTTTAAGATAAGAGTTTGGAGATGCAATTTACGCAATTGGAGTTTTCTATACATATATGCAATGTTTCCTGGGCCTCAAACCATTGACAAATCAACAACCCTCTGGGCCCCTTATAAGCCTGAAGAATGGCTTTATGTTTTAAATCTACCATCTTTTATATGACTTTACGAGGCAGTAATGGCCCCCTTAAGTACCTTCTGTTGACAGTTTATATGTAATTTGGAGCTTTTGTGGCATACATTTTAGTAACTGGAAGTCACCCCTGCCTATTCCAATAATGCCGGAGTGTAATTTATGGTCAATCTAAGGGCACGATCACGTACGTGGTACGATCGTTGTACGACATCTAATTGGGAAAATTCGTAGGACAGTCTTAGAATACAAAAACGGCTAACTTATATCGAAAATGCTGTCTTAGATCATTGTTGGCCAATTGTTCAGTTATAACCTGCATACGACTATCGCAATCGTACGAAATATCAATATCAGCATGAAAGTTCATCTGAGTTGATAAATTACATTATGAAAAACTTAAACTTTCCTCCAACTCAAAATTTAACTCACCAGAAATTTTCGACTGAATCACTCAGTCTTCCTCAGCTATCTGACCCAAATGCTGTGGACACGTGATTTTTCCCACGTGTGACGTCGCTTCAACCATCGCTCAACCGGGACGGGGGGCGATATCGACTTCAGACAACCTTTGACCCTTTGCTGACGTTTAAGTTTTTCATAATGAAATATCAAAATCGTGCGACGAAATACGATGGACTCATGTGGGCGAACGCACGGTAATAAATTATAAATCAAGAAAAAGATAGAGCAGTAGTTTAAAAAAAGACGATGTGTTAATTTTTTCAAGATCAAGGTAGGCCACACTAAGTAAACTTTATGGATGACATCCTCCGGCCGCACACTCCAAATCTAATGCGATAGGGCGAAAAAACAAGGCAGGCAAAAAACAAGATTCTTTCATTTTCAAATTTTTAAGACGTTAGCTTTAGTAAGCATGAATTGAGGTGAATGAACATGCATGACAACCAAACGGGTCTCTTATTCTTATATTCAACAGTATTGCCTTGCAAATGTGTTAAGACAGCAGCCTTGCAAATGTGTAAAGAAGTCTAGAAACTCTAACAAAGCGGCTAGCCGTACCATCATGGGTAGCTACTATACAGGGTTGGGTTGGATGCAATGGAACATGTCAGTGTCACCATTTGCATGCGATTAAACGCGAACCACTGTGCCTCAGGTTTGCTGGAGTCTGAAGGTCTCTGTACCGATAGGCATTTTCAACACACTTGCCCATTTTTGGCATGTTGACCAACGTCAGAGGGAAAAATATTGTTTTCTTTTCCAAAATCGGGCGAAAACTAATGCAAGTGCCGGTGTCATCCATAAAATTACTTGCTGTGGCTTTATGAACGAACACCGGAATGACCCTATTCACCTTTTAACCGCGATAAAAACGTAATTGATATGCGGGTTTTATTACCCTTACTATGCATCCCTAGAGACAGGTGGATGATGCTTTAATATCTGTTACCCAGAGCCCCTACTGGAGTTGTCACGTATTCAATCCTGATATTTTGGGTGATCTTTTTCAGATGAATTCTGCTGTGTGGCTGCTGTGGGAATAATTTGGAGCATACAGACATCGATGTGAGCCGAGAATTTGCAAGTACTGAAACCTCAGCAGTGAGGACGTCATACATATGACGTGATGTGAGACCACACATAGCAGAACTGTTCATCGTCCCTCTGAGAACGGTTGCATCTTACTAAAATGGATCCCTGGATGTTCAATGTGCTCGCAGCTCTACTGTTGACCACTGTTTCTGGATTGAATGACACGGAAGGTGAGTTAAATTGTTTCAAAGGGTCACTTTATAACATTTTTTGCACCGAAAATTGCATATTCTAACTGAAATTCGCGTGATTAAATTTACTTCTATCTTTTAAGATATTTTTTTTCAATTTTCTCACATTTTAACATTTGTGGAAAGCCCATACAAGGAGTACTCGGTTCCTCCATAAGCTACTATAGTGTAAAACATGATAACTGTTGTGTGTCTAGCTTTCTATTACATTGCTGGACGTTACATTTGGGAACCTCCACTGACTTTTGTATCGTCCTAATTTTACATAATGCAGATTGAAATAATGCATGTATTTACGTGGGAAAAGACGGCTGGATTTTGTACGAGAAATGCACGACTTCCCCAGAAATATCATCAGTTGACGATCGTTCGACGATTGTAGAAATATACGTAACCCTGGTTTTTAACCTTAGGTTTTTAAAAGATACTAAACAAGACATCAGTAATCTAAAATTTCCTGCAAATATTTTCGCTTTTGGTGACCTTCAAAATCCCCCTGGAAGTGTTTTT